TAAAGAAAAAAAAAAAAAAAGAAAATTGAAACACCTTACAAATATTACGAATAAAAAAAACCAAGCAAAAGTAGTAAAATAGTAAATATTTATATTGCATAATTTAAAGAAAAATGTAGTAGACCTGCAAAAAAAAACAAGTATAAAAGTTAAAATACTATTTCAATCGAAAAAAAAAAAAAGAAAAAAAAGGAAAAATCTTCTTTCTTGCTTTTACTCTCTGACATAACTTTATCAAGTTTCAGGGTACAATAAACCTGTAAAAAAAAAAAAAAAAAAGTGTGAATCAAATCAATTCTCGCTTGGCAGGGTCATCGAGAATAATCCAACGAACTCGATAAAACTATCACGATATTTCCTATATACACACACACACACACACACATATATATATATATATATATGTTAGCATGTATTAGAGTCTCTTTCTTACATTTACCATAAAAAAAGATAATAAACGAAATCATGACACGTAAGAAATTATCCGATGTTTTTTCTTTTTTTTTTTTTTTATGAGGTTAACCTAAGTAAGTTAAACGAGATTGGGTCGAAAAAGAAAGAAAGAAAGAAAACCATGTTAACAGTAGTTCATAGTGATATGTAAATTAATTTTTAGAAAAGGTAATTTCCTTTCATGTGTGTGTATGTGTGTGTGTATATTTGTCAATGTGTAATATATGCATTTTCTTGAGATATTATTTGACAAACATAATGAGAGTGGAACTTAACATGAACACAAGCAAATGAAAGCAAGCACGAAATGAGTTATGCTTTGTAGAATAATTTGAAGATATTAGTTATAAATAGAACAAAGACAAATTTCAAATATTTCACGTGTATTATACATACATACATACATACATACATACATACATGCTAACAAATTAAGCAAATAGAGTGTGTTCATTATTATCATATAATTAATGAAATTCTTAAATGAATAATAGGTGAAAATAATTTTGATTATTCTATTAGAATTATTGTTGGATTATTTTCTTGTCCAATTAGGTATTCATTAATTTCATTTATTTATTATATTTTAATTATTAAATATATCCTTTATTTTCTTTTATTATTATTATTATTATTCATTTATTTATTTATTATTTTATATTAATTCTTTGAGATATTATTATTATTATTGAGTTTTGTCAAATATTAGAATATATATTTTATTTGTTTTTTTATTATTATTATTAATTCTTGTCCAATTAGGTATTAATTATTTAATTTATTTATTATATTTTAAATATTAAATATATCATTTATTGTTTTATTTATTTATTATTTTATTTATTATTTATTTTATATTAATTCTTTGAAATATTATTATTATTATTGAGTTGTGTCAAATAATAGAATATATTTTATTTTGTTGTTGTTGTTGTTGTTGTTGTTATTAATTGCGTTCTATAAAATGAAATATTAAAAAAAAAAAAAACTCCAATTAAAAATTAATTTATAACATAAGTAAATAATAAAATAATTTGATTGATAAATTTGATATACTTCAATGTCTCTACAGCTTTGAAGTAAGCTTTTCGTTGTACTTCCACTTGTTGCATCTCTTGCACATATATATATATATAGGGTGCTCCTAAAATATGAAATATTATTCTTGTTCTACCTTTTATCTTACAACAATAAAATCTAATTTTAGAATAGAAATTGCAATACAAAAAATAATTGTAAAAAAAAGAAAAAACGAAAAAAAGAATAGAAAGAAAAAGAAATGTGATAAGAGTGTTGATATTTTGATTGATACTAAGTAAGATTAAGTTTTAGTGATAAGATAAATAACAGACGGTTTATCTATTTCTTGTTTTATCTAAAAACCCTTGAAAGTAACCACCCACATGTTTTATCGAGCATATAACACTCAGAACAACAAGATTCTATTTAAATCCTTCTTTCGTATACATACACGCAAATAAACACACATGTGTTTTACACACATGGATAACCATCATTCATATTCAATGAAACGAAGAAACAAAAATTTCCACATAGAGACAGATAACTGATTTCACTCATGAATCTCAAAATGTTTGAAAAACATTATCAAATATTTCTAATTTATCTCATTGAAAAAAAAAAAACCGAACGAACGAACGAACGTACGAACGATTGAAGAAAATAATATGTTTAACGTTGTAATAATAAATTTGTGAGGGTTATTTTTTTGTTTGTATTATTTACAGGAAGACAAAGTTTTCGAGGGAATGACGAGCTTATGTCTCGTTGTGTTTTTGCTGGTTTGCAACAACATTTTTGTTCTCGTTGAATCCCAGCCATTACCAGCAGACATGATTTACAATAGCGAAAATTTTGCCGATGAAACTGAAAAGCTTGTAAGTTAAATTAATATTTCAAAAAAAAATAAATAAAAAAAACAATTAATTTATTATCAAATAAAATATAGAATTGAATAACTAATTATATGGATATTTATTATATTATTATATCTATTTATATCTTCTTAATATATATAAATTACGTATTATGTTGTTTGTCCACAATGGATTCTTAAATTACTGAACCGATTTTAATCAAATTTTACACATTGTATGCAGTTTAATTCAACTTGAAAGAAAGAATAGTTTATATCTCAATTTACATATAAATTATATTTATATTAATTCTATTTAATTAAGGATAAGAATTTAATAAGGATACCTTATATATATATATATCAACATTAAAAAATATTTGATATTACAAATATATGTCTTATATTGGATTAACAAGTAAATGATAGTAGATTTTATACATAATTAGCTTTTAAAAATCAGCAATAATTTAATTGCCAATTCAATACAGTTATTAATGTATATATTTAAAATAGATGGTTAAAGATTTATTGAAAATTGATATAAGAAATCAACAAAAATAATTTGTTATCGTTTGTTCGTTCGTTCGTTCGAATTTTTGTCTGTTCAATTACAGATTTTAATAAATAGGCTAAAACAGTTGATGGAACAAGAAAGGGAACTTACTGAAGAAGAGCTTACAATTCAAGCGATGTTAGAAGCAAAGGCAAGAGATCAACGAGTAGATGATTATCCACCAGATGATACGGAAACACTTCCAATACCAAGTGCCGTAGTTCATCATACATCTCCAGTTTCCAACAAACGAATTAGCTGTGAGCACAATTTATCTTCCTCACTCTCTCTCTCTTTTTAAAGTGAAAACTTCTTTTTTTTTTTCAATTTCATCTTTCTAATTTGTGTTTTTGTTTTTTTTTTTTGGTATTTTTTGTTTGTATTACAAATTAGATCATTTATTTCAATTCGAATTTCGTACGACGAAAAAAAACACATTGATAGGACAGATTAACATTTATTGATTTGAAATTTATACGACAATGGTATCAATTTATTTAAAACAAATTCTCAGAAAAATCATTTCGTCTTACTTCAAACTCCATAATAATAATAATAATAATAATAATCGGTGATTCATCAAAGGTCATATTAAATTCACATTAAAATAATTGAGATCAAAATATGTTTTTTTTTTCTTTTAATAAAACATGATAATACAATAATAATAGTAATAATAATAAAATATTAGTAAATAGTTTGTTGTCAATTGTAAAAGTGTATATATGCGGATTATCTAAATATTTACTATAATGAAAGTGTTTGCCGTATATAAATCTGTATAAAGGGCAAAAGGATTGATCTAACGTTAACGTTCGTTTTATTCAATCAAAATGTTGTTTAACAAATCAAAACTTTGATTTTCTTAACACGCTGTATTCGTGTCGTTTTTTATTCTTTCTTCAATATTTCGTACGAATAATATTCTATGCAAGAAAAAAAGAAAAAAAAAGGTACATAATTTTATGTAAAAAATTGCAAAGTAAAAAAACCAGTACTTACGTATTTAACACCACCGCAGCAAAATTAGGCTAATGCACCAATCTAAACCTTAAATTGTTGCAAAGAATCATAGAATAAGAAACTTTACTTAAAATCGAAACACTTTGAAAATTAAAAATTCATTTTATTTATAAAAAGTAGTCAATTGGATTTCGTTGAAAAATGGGATCAATATAGTATTAAAAATAGATTCAAAACAGTCTCTATTTTCTTCCACCTGACGCTGTCTCCATAACCCTGACGAAACCCTGACAAAACCCCGACGAAAACCTGACGAGAACCTGGAGCAACCCTGACG